GCTATTTTATGTTCAGTCACGTGCCTTAAGTTTCAATCTCTTCCCTCCTCAGATGACTCGCAACTTCGCGAAAAATTTCAATAACTTTCAGTACGTTTATGTGGTACAAACATTACAAATATACGTAATACATAGGTTCACAGAATGGAGGTAAATTCACGAGCAGCTTGCAAAGAATCAAAGCATAGGAGAAATGTAAGGAAGTGTTTATATGGCAACACAGCGGAGATGGTCCTGAAAGTTGGACTGTTGAGTATGACAAGTTAGTGCACTAGTTACTCAATGTCACCTCAATTTCATCAAATTGTCTGAAAGTGAAATTATATAAGTAGAAATCGAGATTTTTCCAAAATTTTGAAAGAATCCAACCATAGAAAAACATAACCTAAAATATTAATAATGCGAGTCGTTACATTATCATAATAAAGCTATGACTGTGCCGAGTGCACAGATAGTATGCAAAAAACCTAGTTTTTTTGGGAAAAACCAAACTTGGAAGAAGATCTATACAAACATCTTTAGAAAAAGCCCCACCTGACGCTGCCGACTCTCTTGAATTCCTTGAATTCCTGACAAGAAACTAAGCATAGATACATAAAGTAAAGAAGTTTGATTTTTTCGATTCTGGAGTGAAAAATAACCAACAAAACTGATCTATAGACGATATTGAGCGTCATTAGCATCATCTTCTTCGTACTACTTTGTAGCTGAACGTTCATGCCGAAAAGGTTTAGTTGTAGTTCACTCTAGCTCAAATACTAAATTAAGTGTAGATGTGTTTCAACGATTTTTTTCCTCGAATAATATAACCTTTCCGATTGTTGCGTGACGAACTACTACATTGACATTTGAAGGCAAAAATCGGACAACATATTCGCTTCTTTTTTTCATTTGGTAGTCCTCCAATTTTTGAATGGCTCTTGGAGTCAAGACGCTAATGCAATTTCGATAACATATCTATGTCCATGGTTTAGTGTCAACGTTATGAGCATAGACACTTGACCTCCACAACATACTGCATATATATCTATTATTCAATATTTTACTATATAGCCAAAAATGAG